TGATGCTGAATCTGAAAAAAATATTTTCAGAAACTCAGAGAAAGCACGAACCGAAATATAAGGCGTATTTTGAAAAAAATGTGTTTTTGAAAAATACGACATACTTCGATTTTTTCGTATTTTCCGACCTGAAAAAGATATTTTATGTAAGGTAAAAAGTTGTTTTTTCGTGATCAGCAACTCTCACTCTGCCAAATGATGTAAAAAAAACGGCAAAAAAATTTTTACTTGAAGTTTGAATTGCCTGCACCTTACTGAGAAATACTGTCGAATAACCTTTTATATAAGTGCGATAAGAAAAGTGTGTACACACTTTTCTTACCGTACTTATATAAAAAGGGTACACACTTTTCTTATCGCACTTATATAAAAGGTTATTAGACAGTATTTCTCAGTACATTCAATATAGTTTTAAAGTTATAAGCAATTATACCCGTAAGTATCGAACATCATAATGCTAATCCTAAAAATATTATGACCTGATCATATTTGGTTTGACAGTAAAGCCATTTTTACTCCATAAACTTTATCTAGCTCACGATTTACATTTTGCACAGCTCTATCCAAATCTTTATCCTTCACATACACAGAAACATCATCAGTAAATAAGCTTGTATTTTCGACAAATGTAAGTATCTTAATGTTTAAGATTATAGTCGACTTGCACAAAATCGCGCAGTTATTGCCCTTGTTTTACCAGTTTAAAATTCATCAATACGATGTGCATTTTCGGTAGCATACCCGTTAATATCAACGCATAACGAATTATAAATGTCGGGGTCGCTCAAACGTCGATTAACCACCTTAAGGTTATATCCTCGTTTTTTTTCTACAAATCCGACAGATTGCAAATAAAATGTACGGCTGTATCTTTTTGAATATTCTACTCCAGCACATAATTTATGTAATTAATTTCGTCGATCTGTTAGTTGATCCTGAAAAGCATCTAGCTGTTGTTGAAATATTGTACCCAACTTATCATACATGATATCTATAAATTTACCGTCATTTTGCACTGTATCACTTCCATTTCTAATACAGTAAAACCTCTCTATTGTGTACACTGTCGGGACTTTTCAAAAACGTTCACTATAGCGAGGTTTTCACTTTAGAATGATGATGCATGTTTTGCACAAATATTTTTTGTAATCTGATCTGGTGTGAGTGTTAAACGAGCTGATGATAAACGTTCCGCGCTCTTGGTAGATTTACCTGGCATCTTCGAACGAAATAATTGAATAATGTAATAGCTACAAACTTTTTCTGTCGAGGGAAATTTTCCAATCTCACGGGTAGATTCTGCACCTCTGGGCCGTAATGTGACCCGATTGAAGGGACTATCGAAAAAACGATTAGTAAGAAAAACGCATATTCTATATAGGCCTCTATTGTTTAGGGCATTTACGGTGATGAGTATATCGCATCTGTTTCTCTCATTATGAGTTTATGGGTTGTTTAATCGGGCATACCAACAAGAAAGTGCAAAGAATTCTCAATGTTTTGAGCTATAGAAAAAATTTATGTAACAAGATCCGTAAAGTTTTTTAAGTTTATAGTTTCACCAATAATCATATCTTATGTCAATTAAGTTCTAACGAGAACCAGTAAATTATTATTATTCTCGGAGTGTGTGTACCATGTTTGAATTGGAAAGTTTGGAGAGTTTAAGTTTCATGAGCTCGTTTTCTAAATCGACGTTTTTTTAAGTTAAAGTTTTTTATATTTTTTTTATGATTATACGTGACAGATGACTCTACTTCGAGAAAAAGGTTCGTTTTTAAGTGCTAATAATAGTTTTTGACGGAATTTACTATCTCGAAAGTTTCAAAGAAAGTACAACGATTTATTTTACGTCAACATATCATTGAAAACTAGACAAAATTCTACACCTTTTAAGCCTGAAACGAAGGCTTAAAAGTTGTTTCAACCAGATTGAAAAAAGTCAAGTTTGTCAATCTGAGTTTAACACCAAAGGACTGTAATTAAACAGATATAGCTTAGAGCTATGATGAGTATATTTTCTTTTTATTCAACATGCGCCCGTTCGTCATGAAGAAATCGGATGAAAAACTGGCTTTACTTGAAAAGGAGAAAATACAGGTAGAAGCACAAGTATCCATGCTCTGTGAAAGTTAGATACCTTGAGCTATTGCGTATCCATCGAAATTTGTTTTTACTATCAGACATATATACACAGGTGGTAACTTTCTACCTCTTTTTCTTCTGCTTAAACTCCTTTCACGCTCTTGATATTCAACGAAAATGAAGGGTTAAAAATGCGAAACTCGGATTGCCGTTATCGATTTATCATACTCGTATGATTTCTGACATTTTTTCGTACAAAAAATGTTCTTATCGAAAGTTAGGCAAAACGGTAGCGTGGGCTACGTTCAAGCGGAAATTTTGTTCGAAATTTGTGTTCGTCGAGAACAGCTGGAAAACATATGAATAGTGTAAATTCATATGGACGTCATGAATACTATATTCTATACCCTTCATTTCCTCCTTGTCACATACCTCGTCTGAAGATACGGAAGCGAGCAATCTTTTTGCAAATCTGGTTCCAGCCTTGTTCATTTTCGTCTTATATGTATTTCATTTCTAAGAAATGGTTGTCAAAACCAAAAAAAGAGATTAATTTCTTTGACAGTGTAATTAATTTTTCTATTTATAGTAGAATCCCGAGGGTTTAACCCGATTCCGTATCCGATCCGGTTAGGATTGGGATCGGGACCCCGAAATGTTTTTCTTCGGGTTCGGGCTCGGGAGGGATTTGAGTTTATCGGAGCGGGATCGAGAATCGGGTTTCTTCTGCAAATGTTGCATTATTTTTTTATTCAAAAGACAAAAATAGCAAAGAGATATTATTTCTGAGCCTGCTAAACGTTTATCACAAAAGTAGCAATACAAAAAAAGATTTCCTTAAGTCTGTTAATTTTCACTGTCACTAAAACTACCATTCCTTTGATTGAGTTTCTCCTTCTTGGCTGTGGAAGAACCAGAACATCTTTGTGTAGAGATTTACTAAGTCAGATATAGAAGAGGGACTTCATTAAAAAACCATTTCTGGTCGAGAGAGTTTGGAGCGGGTTTTAGTTTGGAAAATCGGGATGGGATCCCGAAAAACTTCTGGCCGGTTCGGGACGGGTTTCAAATCTATGAGACCGGATCGGGATTAAAAATAGGCCCACAGGACTCTAGTTTACAGTGTTTCTATATAATATTCATTTATCTTTAGTGACAAATGAGTGGTCAAGACAGTGACAATTATGCAAAAAAATTAACTCCGGAAACGAAGGATCAAATTAAAAAAGATGCGCAAGCTCAAAACAAAGCATCTGCCGAATCCTCAAAACAACAGGGAAACATTGATGATAATCTCGAGAAACGTTTGAAAAATCCAAATCCCCCAAGTGGCCAGAAATAATAATGACTTTATTAAACCATTATTTGATTATTGTACTTTTATTTTTAAAAATATTTCATCAATTTTTAAATTTTATTTTCTTTACCCAAAGTTTCTTGTTTTTATTCCATATCTGATTATAAGGTAAATTGTGTAATTATTTCTAAATAAAAATATTTTGAAAATTGGTGATTCGATAAAAATGAGACATGTTATTAGTGTTTAATAAAACATAATTCTTAACTCATCAATAGGACAACATGATTCAAACACTTTTTCAACGTGTGAACAAAGCTCTTAAAATACTGGTCTTGAGACAATAAAGCGTACGACAGAGGAAGTTAGCATAATGATGAAAATCTTGCAATATACATCTAAGTTTAGTATTCAATAGTTTTTGCATCTCTCTCTCCGCTTTCAACTGCGAGGAACAGCTGGAAAACATATGAATAGTGTAAATTCATATGGACGTCATGAATACTATATTCTATACCCTTCATTTCCTCCTTGTCACATACCTCGTCTGGAGATACGGAAGGGAGCAATCTTTTTGCAAATCTGGTTCCAGCCTTGTTCATTTTCGTCTTATATGCATTTCATTTCTAAGAAATGGTTGTCAAAACCAAAAAAGAGATTAATTTCTTTGACAGTGTAATTACCAATGCGCGGATGTTTTTGAATAACTCAAGAATCGAATGAGTGAATTTCAAAATATAATGCATTATATTTTGAATTTCATACTATTAAGTCTCTTTCAGTCAAAACAACTCTTTTCTTGAAATTTTCTCGGTAATGCTTTCTGT